ATCCCATCTGCGGAAAAGAAGAGTTTTTGAACCTTTCCATTTCCCCTGCAAAAAAGCCGGTGGTGAATAGCTTCACTTCAGTTAACAGTATTTAGGATCAGCTACTTTTGGCTGAATACTTGTATTCTGTTAGAAGGATGTGAATCAGTCTTTTTCATATGCCTAAATCCAAAGTTTACATAGAAAGCATTGAATACTCTCATCAGATGCAACTGTGCTCAAGGAAAACAATGCAAATGTCTTATATTTACCATTTCCTCTTTTGAATCAGTTGGACAACTTTGATTCATTGGGATATTGGTATATGCTCCTCTGGCCAAGTGTTCCATTATTCAGCAGGCTGGTAGTACGCACTTCACTAGACAAAGAATGCTGTCACTACTACATTTTCAGCACCCAAAACAGTGCCTTGCATATAATAGGCACTCAGTTAATTGATTATAAATCTTAAAGGTGATCTGAGAACAGCTTTATTTGTGGAATACTGGATAAAGAAGTTACACAGGATAAATATAAAACAGCTTGTAATTATTGAGGTTCATAGTCTTCTGGTACATCATTCTGAGAAATAGTGGCTAATTTAGAGCACTAATTAGAATTCACAAAAGGCCTTAGCAATTAAATTGTCAAAGGCCCAAGGGCTAATTTTAATTTTTGTTTAGTCTGAGTTTATCATATGGGATTATTGAATATGAAGTATTACCTTCAAAAATGAATGTTATTTCTGGGTTCATCTGCCTTACATAAATGCATAACAAGGTCCTTTGCTTTTGTTTGTGTTAAGGATGATTTGCCTTTGTAAGTAAAAATGATTATGAGTTTTTCTTACAGTTGATCATATGTCACTATAAAACAGGTCTCTTAAACTGCACTGGTATAATTGTACTAGCTGAAATGATACTTACATAACAAGTGTGAGAGAAATTTATACTTTTTAGATCAAAACAAGTTACCCAATCGCAAAAGAGAAAATGGAACAGGACATAGTATCCGTTTCTTCTAATATATATCTCACAGTATGATGTTATGTAAAGAAAACCCTTTTAGAATTGTAAATCTTGTTCTGATGCTGAACTATTTGATAATAATAAAGTGCTTATTTGCAGATAATAGAATAAATGCATTTTTAATCCCTAAGCAGCAGTGAAATTATAAAATATCAACCTCACGTCTCAGATCCATGTGATATATGCTTGTTTTTAAGGAAATTTTTCAGTTATGTCTTATAGCAAAGCCTACTTAAGACATAAATGTTACTATTCATATTATTGCCTTTGACAAGGTTACTTTCTTTTAAGAGGAGTTTTAAGTTCATAGTTATACTGAGATGAAGATTCAGAGATTTCCTGTTTTGCTCTCTGCCCTCACATATGTGTAGCCTCCCTCATTACCAGGGTCCCCCACCACAGTGTGTATTTCTTACAGGTGATGATCTTGCACTGACACCTCATCACCTGAAGGCTGTTGCACATTCTATGTGTTTGGAGAAATGTAGCCATCATTATTATTCCATACAGGATTCACTGCTCTATAAATCCTGTGTTCCACCTGCTCTTCAGGGTCTTAGCTCCTCAGTGCCCCTCCCTCTTTTAATAAACATTTCATGTAAAAATTGGAACACTGAAAGGGGAACAGAGAAGTTTATTTATCAATGATAAATGAACTACCCTTTACCAGGCTTCATAACAGGTCAATAGCCATACTCCTAGGGTACAAGTTATTACTCTGGATTTGTATCCATGTTTTCTCTCTAAGTGCTCTCATATTGTAGGGGTACAATATCATCTCAGTGCTCCTTATCTCTGTGCACGGCAGAGTAATCTGTGGGACTTTACAGAATATAGGTTTGAGCATTCTAATTCGGAGTATTTAAAAAGCTCCACAAGTGTTTTTGATGTTCTGCCAGGGATGAGAATCAAGTGGTTTAGCACGTAAAACTTATGACTTCAAACAATAAGGAAGAGCTAATTTTAGACCACTGTGAGAGATGACAGATGAGTCCTGGGTGTGGTGGAAACATCTACGAAAAAACATGTTTTCTCTCTGGTCTTGGAGGACAGACTTGCCACTGACACTTCCAAAAGATTTCCTTCCTTTATTTCCTTCTGACAGATGAGTATTTACAAAGCCTCAGAATATTCTGTTTATTAGTGTTAAGTGACACATAGGTAGATTTTCAAAATGACTCTGCATCAGAAATGAATGAATCTTTTCTTTTATACAGGTTTAAGTTTTTCTAGCCTGAAGTTTTGTTTCATCTCTTACTTCCACAGAAAATTTCAATGTCTTAATGTTTCCAATATAATTTTACCCTGATGTACAGAGAAAAATCAAGATTCTGTAGGAATGAAGTAGTATCCTCACTTGCTGATAGACATTTTTTAAGATGCCATTTAATTCATTTTAAAAAGCAAAGGTTAAGAATATTAAATATCTTCTTTAGTGTACAGCTACTATAAATGGACCATAACATGTAGAGTTTTATTTAGAGGCAGAATTCTTAACCAGTGAGAATGAAAAGAAGCAACCATAAACTATGTAACCTTGCCTACTTTATTAGCCCCCTGGCTCCATTTTCATAGCAAATAGGTTGAGCAAACTGTGAAGAAAAAGGAAAAATCATATTTTACTGTTATTTTTATATTCAGTCTTTACCCAAACATTGAAATATAAAACTTAGATTTTTTTCAGTAACTTTAACTAAATAAAAATCATAACATTTTCTATTTAGGAAGTAACTGCTATTGGTCTGTACAATACATTTAATCTTTCATATTAAACCACATAGAGGGGCTGAGGTTGTATAGCTCAGCAGTAGAGCCCTTGACTAGCATGTGTGAGGCATTGGGTTTGATTCTTAGCACTGCTTATAAATAAATAAACATCCATTGACAACTAAAAATATATTTTTTGAAAAATTATCACAGGAAACATGTTGAAAAAATTATCAGTGTCACATGTCAATTCTAATATGTAAGTACAGCCTCAAAACAATGAACAGAAGAGTTGATGAGAATAGATGACTCTCCCAGCTGCATATTAAAAGAGCTTGTTTTTATCTCATTTACATATTACATAGTGTTACCATATGTATTAGTCAGTATTGTGTTACTATAATGAAATACTTAAGATGATTCACTTATAAAGGGAAAAAGGTTTATTTTGGCTCTCGGTTCTGGAATTCCAGCTTAAGATCAGGTGGCCCCATGACTTTGGGGCTCCGGTGAGGGCAGCACATCTTGGCAAGAGTACATAGTGGAGCAAATTGTTTATATCACGAGCCAGGAAACATAAAGAGACAGGAAGCATGGTATCCCATAATTTATTGGAGGGCATGCCCCCAGTGACCTTAGAACCTCCCATTATGATCCAGCCCTCAAAACTTCTGCTACCACCTCCTAACAGTGCCACCCTGGGAACCAACCCTTTAACACGTGGCCTTTGCCATATATTTGACCTACAAACTATGGCACCATAATGTCTCCATTTAAGAAACTTTATCTGTGGTAGACTATTTTCTTTTTTTGGTGATGGTACTGGGGATAGAACCCAGAAGACCTGTACCACAGAGCTACATCACTAGCCCTTTTTACTTTTGAGACAGGGTCTCACTAATTTGCTGAGGCTGGCCTCAACTTGTAATCCTCCTGCCTCAGCCCTAGTAGCTGGGATTATAAGTGTGTGCCACCACACCTGGCCTTGTGGTGTGGCAAAGTTTTCTATAAAATACCAATTTAGGGGCTGGGGTTATGGCTCAGCGGTAGAGCACTCGCCTCGCATGTGTGAGGCCCTAGGTTCGATCCTCAGCACCACATAAAAATAAATACAGATATGTGTCCATCTACAACTAAAAAATAAATATTTTTTTAAAAATACCAATTTAGTCCAGAGGGAAATTCTACTGAATATTTAACTTGATATGTACAACACATTGGTCCCAAAATGAGGAACAAAAATATGCCTTTAAAAGCAAGTTCTATGCGATCATCCAGATAATAATAGAAGGCAGGATCTTCCCCTCCACCATTTGTGCCAGAAAACTGTAATGAAAAGTAAAATACATGAATTTGAACTTGTTCCTTTTATTATAATGAATGTTTAAATAATTAGAATACTAAATTATCAGGAGTGATTAATTTTCCATCACTGAGACAAAAATGTTTAGTGTTGTTAAGGCTGCTTGATTTTTGACTTGACCTAAGACACCATTTCATTTAAGGTCCTCATGCAATATGAGTACAGCCTCTTGAGATTCACCTGCTGCTTGTCATGCTCTAGCCTCTTTATTTGCCTTTCTTCTTTCAGGAATAAATATGCTGTTCCAGAAGGAAAGCACTGCATTTTCCACCCACTTCTGAGAAATTGTATAAACTAAAAATAAACCTGTGTGCTAGATGCATTTTATATATATATTTTTTGGAGTTAAGAATAATAATAAAATGACACCACATGATATATAAGACTGTATAGGGCCTTAGCTCATGATAATCAAACATTAAATATTTCTGAGAGAAAGATGAATATTTCCAGTGAGTGGGTTATAAAGACTATAGAAAGGAATATGGCAATTTAGATAAGATTCTGATCGCATATGATTTTTAGTTCCAAACACACAGGACCACTTGGTTTTCAGCTTTATAGATTTTTAACAATGAATAAATAAGTAGTGATCCAGACAGGAATTAATAGGTGACTCCTAAGTTTTTTGCTTGATAAGTGTTTAGTAAAACTGGGGAAAGACTAGAGTAGAAACAAGATATTGTTATTGATTTTGACTTAAATTGTGAGAAATTGGAGTGGGGTAGGAATTGAGAGTTTGATTGGCTATGATAGGTTTAATTTCTGTGAACAGGTCAGGGCTGGAGAAACAAATTTGGGAATCAGCAGCAGAAAGGGTCCACTAAATACTGAATTCATCGGATGAGATAGTAGGAGACAGTTTACATACCAAAGGGAACACTGCTATACCTAATAAAAAGACCACAGCATCAAACCACTAAGACTCTTAACAACTAATTTATTTTAAAATAGACAAACTATTAGTTGTAGAAAATAGTAACATAGCAATTTTAAATGTAGTTTTAACCAGTACAAAAAAGCAATAAAGCAACATCTGAAGTCTTAAGAATCTCAATACACGATCTCTGAAATTCCTAAAATTCTGTCACTAATTCTAATGTAAATTTATGAGCAAAAGACCCAGAAATATGGTAAGCCCTTGACATAAAAACTAACTGAATTGTATGCTATTCATGCAAAAAAAAAAAAAAAAATGAAGAAATGGGATAAAGCTTTCTAGTGCCTGTTATCAAGATAACTGTCAAAATAGTAAGTTTGATGTTTAAACACAAAATTTTGTTTTCTAAGAAATAAGACCAGATTTCTTTTTAAAAAGAACTCTGAGTTTAGACAAAATGATTTTTCTAAATGCTAGCTGATGCTATCTTAAATACCACCTATTTTATATATACCATCTCTAAATAAGTTAATCACACAAGACAGTTTAAACACACCTTTAGGTGTAGGGGAAGGGGGATAGCACTTCTTTCTAATGCAGCTATTTTAATTTGAAGCTTTTGCATAAAATCAGAAAAATTAATGCCTAACTTACAAGACCTTTGATTACTTGCAATGTTGGACTAGAGATAATGTGGCTTTTAATGTGCCAGTGTTAGACCATACTGACTTAAAATAGAAGATAAATAATTGCCAGTTCAAAAGATACATGGAAGACATGTACCATTCCAGAGAAAACACAAACCTTCCCAAATTTAGGAGGGCAGAATAATTATTGAGATGCAATTAGACAAATCCCTAAGGGAAACTCAAAAAACCCTCAAGGCTTCTACAGTTAACAGACTGCTATGGAATAAAATTAATTTGTATCTTGATTTTTTAGGACCCAGAAACATTAGAAAGTGCACTTGGGATATACTGTATTAGAGTCCTCCGCAGCAAAGCTCTGACTGGACACTTTACTTTTTCAAGTACCAGATAGGTACTTAAAAAATTCAGTGATCTGAATGGTAAAAAACAAAAACAAAAACCCCAAACCAAGAGTATTACAATAATATGCATTTTAAACCATGAGTTTGGATAAAGAAAAGAAATTCTTATAAGTTCTGAGGTATGAAATCTGTGTCAGTAGTATGACAGTATCATGTTTGTACTTTGTTTTTTGCTTGTATGTAAAAGAAAATTTGTAAAACAAGCACACAATACATCAGATTCCAATACTAAAATAAAATCAAATGTGTAAAAATTAATTTTTTCCTAGTTCCTAATAATAATCTGTTTTAGCAGAAGAGTTTAAGATAATTTGGGTGAATGGACAGTCAGTCAAATTGCATTTGGAAGACAGGACACATTTTCTAAGGGTGTTCACGTTTTTAAATTAAAAAAATATACATATAAATTAATAAAACCAAGAGCAAACATCACACATATGCTACAAGGGAAGACAAAGTAGTCAGACAGGCATGGGTTATTAGTACTCCCACTCCAGAGGCAGCCTCAATTCATTCATAAAGCAAAGCAATTTTACTTTGGAAATGTGATGATCTGCTATACCTTTTTAATGGCAGGATTACACAAGATTTTCAATCTTGTATAATAACAATGCATATACCATTGAATATAACATTGAAAGTGGCTTAGGAATCACCCACACAAATATTCAACTTGTATCTGCACATTTTATATCTACAAAAAAGAGATATTAATGTGGCTGTAAACAGAACTTGGGAGAGTTATACAGTCACATCTCTGAGAGATAATGAAGCCAGAGGCGTACATGGTGTACACAGTGTGTACCAAAGTCCTGAGATCCTCACTGTTCTTCCTTGTTTGAGGTATCCATGCTATCATTCATTTTCTGTTTTTGCATTCGTGTTCGAGTAGATGCTGAAAAAGAGAAGACGACCTGTTAATAGTGTTGATGGTACTGGGTATGTTGGCAAGGGGCTGCCATATATATTATGCTCATGTCAAACTAATGGAGCTCAAAATCTTGCAAAGGCAGGGGTCTCCAAAGTTTTTAAAGTCATGTGAGTAAAACTGACTACAACACGTGAATTAAAGTGTTTCAAAGCATGTACTAATGAAATGTCCGGATGTGTGTATAAATTTTAAAATACTCTAAGCAAATATTAAAAACAATTGAGAACTGGTATTGGTCACATACTCCTGTAATTGCAGATACTCTGTAGACTGAGGCAGGAGAATTGCAAGTGTTCCTGGCCAGTTTTAGTAACTAAGCAAGACACTGAAAAAAGCTGGATATATAACTACAGGTGGTAAAGCACCCCTGGGGTCAAAAATAAAAACCACAAAAAATTATAGATAGATAAAAATAAATAAAATAAAACTCTTTTGTCTAATCCAATGAACTTCTATTCTTCCCTCAGTAATAATGAATGCAATTATTTTAAGCAAGTTGGTGAATACCTTCCTTAGCCTCAGGGGTTAAAACTCCCACTAATTGTCCAGAATTTTCCATCTGCACAAAGTCCATGAACTTTGACCTGGAAGAGGAAACTGTAACATAGCTAAGTGTGTCACCAGGAAATGTACTGATTATAGTTGTGGAACTCTTTAAGAAAATATACGTGTTTTTATAGGCTTTTGCTCCTTTTTAAATGCATACTGTGCATTCCAAAATGCTTCCAAATGTCTTCACAGCATGATTTTGGTTATAAGCTTCATGTTTATTTTCATGTATTGGGAGGAAAAACCACAACTATTTAAAAGTTAAAATAGGAATATTTCAGTTGATATAAAATCCAAACAAATTAAATGTTTGCTATATTTAGTTTTAATTGTAACGCAATACATTGGAAAAAAATGGCTTAAGAATCAACCAAAAGTATTCTTTTAAATACTTTATGTCTCCAAGTTAGTATCTATGAAGACAGTTGAAAGCCTCTTCTCAGGCTTTAATTGGTATTGTTCTCATTGATATGTCCTATGACCCAGGAATGACAATTTTAACAACCTTCATTTTCTAAACATTCTTCTTTTCCAAGTTCCAGATTCTTTTCCTATAAATGATCTGACACCACATATCAGAAACTGTCACACTGTTACAGCTACCTACCTAAAACAACCCAGCAGTGGATTGTGAACATTTATCTTTTCCTACAGAGTTGCCATCTACTATACTTGGATTAGTTTTCTTTTATAGCCTCAGAATAGTTTAGAATAGGATTCCATTTGCCTTAGTATCACCACCCCCAATAAAAAATTGGGTGGGGGCAGGGCTGATGATTGAACTCAGGGTTTCACACATCCTAGGCAAATATGCTGTAGCACTGAGTGATACTCCCAGGCCAACATTCCAATTTTATTTCCAAACTTAGAAAATGACCTGGCATTCTTTACCAAAAGTCTGATTTTTAGTAACAGAAAACTTTTGTTTGAACATGTTTTAAAGCAGAATAAGACAGTGTTTTTTAAATGAGGGTGAGGATATGCTAGGTTTGTGAAACCTTTTCCTGTCCTTCATACATAAAAGACCTCCTCACGATAGTTCTGTTGCCATACAGTATTTTCTGACCATATGCACTACATTGAAGATGTGGTCAGGCAACATTTCGCTTCTTACTCTTCCTGCACTTAAGATGTTAGGGTGACAAAGACCTTCATTCTGCAGCATACATTTAATTAAAAAATGGGTGAGGTAAATAAAATACTCTCAACCAAAATATTTTAAATGCATAAACACGTCTGCTACTTGAAAAGGAATTATGTGTATTCTTTTATGAAGCAAAAGGCTTTTGCAATAAAAATAACTGTTTTTTTCATTTTTATAAGGTGAAATAAGTACTTACTCATTTCGGCCAGTTTCTGCTGAAATTTGGACTCCCCTGGGAGATGTTTACTGCAGATTTAAAAAACAAAGTATTTCACATACATATGTATAAATGCAAAACTCAAATTTCTATGGTGATTTCAGTGATATTTGATGATATTGTTTTATTGAGTAGTTTTTAATTTCCAAAATTGATGAGTCAACCATCTAAAATAAAAATGTCACAAATTTATGATTCTATATATTTTTCAATGGTTCCTATAAAACACAGAAATTAGTATTTTTCAAGAGTAAGTTTTTTTAAAAATTTATTTTGTATTCTAATTTGTTATATAAGACAGCAGAACACATTACAATTCATATTACACCTATAGAGCACAATTTTTCATATCTTTAGTTGTATACAAAGTATATTCACACCATTCGTGTTTTCAAACATGTATTTAGGATAATGATATCCATCTCATTCCACCATCTTTTCTACCCCCATGCCCCTTCCCTTTCCCTCCCACTCCTCTGCCCTATCTAGAGTTCATCTATTTCTTCCACGATCCCCCTCCCAACCCCACTATGAATCAGCCTCCTTATATCAGAGAAAACATTCAACATTTGGTTTTTAGGAACTGACTAACTTCACTTAGCCTTATATTCTCCAACTCCATCCATTTACTTGCTAATGCCATGATTTATTTTCTTTTATTGCTGAGTAATATTCCATTGTGTATATACATACCACATTTTCTTTATCCATTCATCTATTGAAGGGCATCTAGGTTGGTTCCACAGTTTAGCTATTGTGAATTGTTCTGCTATAAACATGGATGTGGCTGTGTCCCTGTAGTGTGCTGTTTTTAAGTCCTTTGTGTATAAACTGAGGAGTGGATAGCTGGTTCAAATGGTGGTTCCATTCTCAGCTTTCCAAGGAATCTCCATACTGCTTTCCATATTGGCTGCACCAATTTGCAGTCCCACCAGCAATGTATGAGTGTGCATTTTTCCCCACATTCTTGCCAACACTTATTGTTGTGTTCTTAATAGCTGCCATTCTGACTGGAGTGAGATGAAATCTTAGAGTAGTTTTGATTTGCATTTCTCTAATTGCTAGACATGTTGAACATTTTTTCATATATTTGTTGATTGATTGTATGTATATCACCTTCTGAGAGGTTCTGTTCCTTGGCCCATTTACTGATTGGGCTATTCTTTGCTGTTTAGCTTTTTGAGTTCTTTATATATCCTAGATATCAGTGGTCTATCTGATGTGTGAGTGGTAAAAATTTGTTCTGAAGATGTAGGCTCTTTATTTACCTCAAAAAAAAAAAAAAAAAAAGGCCTGGGGATGTGGCTCAAGCGGTAACGCACTCGCCTGGCATGCGCAGGGTACTGGGTTCGATCCTCAGCACCACACAAAATAAAATAAAGACGTTGTGTTCACTGAAAATTGAAAAATAAATATTAAAAAATTCTCTCTCTCTTCTCTCTCTTTAAAAAAAAAAAAAAAAACCTTGGGAATCAACCTAACAAAAGAGGTGAAAGACCTCTTCAACAAAAACTACAGAACGCTAAAGAAAGAAATTAAAAGACCTTAGAAGATGGAAAGGTCTCCCTTGTTCTTGGAGGCAGAATTAATATTGTCAAAATGACCATACTACCAAAAGCACTATATAGATTGAATGCAATTCCAATCAAAATCCCAATGACATTCCTCATAGAAATAGAAAAAGAAGTCATGAAATTCATCTGGAAAAATAAGAGACTCAGAATAATTAAAGCAATCCTTAGCAAGAAGAGTGAAGCAGGTGGCATCACTAAACAATAATTCAGAGCAATAGCAACAAAAACAGCATGGTATTGGCACCAAAATAGACTGGTAGACCAATAGTACAGAATAGAGGACACTGAGGCTAACCCACATAATTACAGTTATCTTATATTAGACAAAGGTGCCAAAAAACATATATTGGAGAAAAGATAGCCTTTTCAACAAATAGTGTTGGGAAAACTGGAAATCCATATGCAACAAAATGAAATTAAACCCCTATTTCTCACCATGCACAAACTCAACTCAAAGTGGATCAAGGACCTAGGAATTAAACCAGAGACACTGCACCTATTAGAAGAAAAAGAAGGCCCAAATCTCTATCATGGGATTAGGCTCCAACTTCCTTAATAAGACTCCTATAATGCAAGAATTAAAATCAAGAATCAATAAATAGGATAGATTCAAACTAAAAAGCTTCTTCTCAGCAAAGATTAAGTATTTTTAACTCTAATATTGAAGCCATCAAAATTTTATTTATAAATTTGTTAAAAAAGAACAGAAAACATCTGATATCTTTATTGAATTTCAGAAAATGATATCTGATTTTTGTGGTCTTTTAACTTTGGGCTACATTCACACCTATTAATTTGAACCATCCTTAAACCTCCACATAAAATTGGCATAGGAAGGTCTGGTGGGAGTGAGGGACAGCACTGAGATTCTGGGCTTTGGGAAACATTCCAAAACATTCCTACCTTCCATCAGTTTCATCTGATCCTTCAATGTCAAAGCGTAGTTTTTTCAGTGGTTTAGGAGGGTTGCTTCCTTCAGCACTTCTTTTGAGCACACGGTCACTGTTACACACCATCTGATTTATTTTCTGGAACTTCTCAGAAGTCTACAAATTATAGAATTCTTTATTGTAAATCACTTAATGTCAGCATTTTGAAGTTAGCATCTATTAACCATAGTCTGAGGTGTGTAAAAAAATTAGGCAGAAGTACATCTTTTCATTTTAACTTTCTGCCTTATTGGACCAAATAAAAACATTTCAGAATAAGTATACCAATTCTTGTCCATTAAATACCCACCCCTTGTAAATTCTCCTATTTTTTTCCCCACGAGGTTCCTACTGTTCTTCTAACAAATCTGATTACTAGTCTGAATGCCTTGGCTCCTTGTTTTGAGAACTTACCCGCAAAGTTGGGCAGCTTTCTGGAACTCTTTTTTTTTTTAATATATTATGCTTACATTTTTTTTAATACCTTTATTTATTTATTTTTATGTGGTGCTGAGGATCAAACCCACGGCTTCGCATGTGCTAGGCGAGTGCTCTACCGCTGAGCCCCAGCCCCAGCCCCTGGAACTCTTTTTTGACAGAGGATTTTTAGGATATTTGATATTATATAACAAGAAAGAAGATCACAAGAATATGATAAGCATCATATGTTCAGCAAACAATAATTTTTTAATTTATTTTATGGGCGTTAGATTGACAAGTCATATAGTTTATATATTTAAATCACCACTGGTATGGTATTTGTTGAAATACTGCTAATTCTCAAAATTTTAAAAATAAACAAATATCCAAAAGACTTCAGAGTTTGAGTTCTGTAAGTATTATTGGAGATAAGTATTACTGAGATATCTTTGGAGGGAGAATACTGTCAAGACAAAGCAAAAAAAGCATTGGGAAAAAGTATCAAGTGAGCACATGATCTTATTTTATCCAATGGACAAATATGTGGAAAAAATATATTACTTAGCTATCAATTTTAGAAACAAAATGAGGTGAATGTCTCAGAGATGTATATTAACATGTTTACTTGAACTAAAAAGAAAGAGGTAGCCAAACTTTCTGATAGAAATTAAATCTGGTTTGACTGGTAGATTTGACAATAGAATTAGCTTTGCTGTTTGTTCTATTTTCCAAACATCAAGTGCAAAAGTAGGTTTTGATGGAAAATATACTTAGAGCACTCAATGAGCCCCTCTTTTTAAGATTTTTAGTTACTAACTTTAAACTATGGAAGTATATACAACATTTTCTCAGTGATTTTTAAGAGGTATGGCAAGCAAAGAAGTTTGAAGACCTCAATTTTATAGTCATCCAGCCCCAACCCTACTCGAACGTTTCCACATCTCCCTTGTGAATCCTGACAACTGCAGCCTATCTTAAACTAAATGTCATAGCATTGAATATTTACAATGTATATTTAGTACTTGGTCATTTAGTATATAAACTTTTACCTATCTCTAGTTATTTCATTTGGGTAGTGTGGTTAGCAGCCTCTCAAGTGACTTCTAATGATTTCCAGTTCATGGTATTCATACTCTTATATGATCCTCCTCTCCTTGTGTGTAGGTTGGGCTTGTAACCAAAATAATATGACAAAAGTGATGGAATTTCATTTTTAATATTAGGTTAGAAAAATACTAACTTCCATCTTGCTCTTAAAGCCTTTGCTCTTGGGCTCTGGGGCATATTTACAGCTGCTATATGATATGAATGAGAACAGTGGAGGATCCCAAGTGGTAAGGAACTGACAAGTTTGGCCCAAAGTATCAGCTTACAATTATGAATGACTTTGCCAGCAGATGCTCCTTCAGTTGGGTCTGGAGCTGACTACAGCCCCAGCTGACAGCTAGATCAAAATCTTATGAAAAAGCTCAACTATGTGAAGCCTAGTTTACTGACTTGCAGAAGTGAGATAAATGTTCCTTTAAGTCACTAATTTTGAGGGTAATATATTTTTCAACAATAAATAATATAAGCACTCTTCCCATTCCTCTAGAGTACACATTCTGTGGAGGGCAGGATGGTGCAACATACTGATAACAACACACTGACTGCTGAATTAGTGGTGCTCCACTAGAGATGTTAATGGAAGCCAAATAGAGTAGTGGATTCTCAGCCTAGAATCACTGTTCCAAAGCTAAGCTTTCATTAGGACTACCATAAGCCCTGCCAATTTACTAGGGAAAGTCTTATATATTACCAATTCCTAATAAATATACCAGAGAAAGAATATCCTAGAAGTCTGAGAGGAAGAAGCATCCAAGAGTGAGTTTATATATGTGTGTGTATCAACATGTATAAGGAGATCAGGATGGTGACATCTAGATATGGTGCTTCCATTTTGGAGTATCTCATTTCAAACCATATTCATATGACTGATTTCCAAAACTGTTTCGTAACCACTCCTCTGAGATTACATACATACACATGTGGGAACACAAAATGATATTTGGTCTTTCTCTTGCTTAGGAGAACAGAGTTCCTAAACTCTTGGAATTTCCTGAGTGACAAGGATGATAGGACCATCTTTTGTTCTAAGAGGTGATGCTTGTTGGGCCCCTAGGTAGCTTCAGGATGGGGGTTTGTTGCCAGAAAGACCCAGCCTTACTTAGTAACTTAGAACTTCCAGAGGGTGGGGAGAGGAGCTGAAGATTGAATTAATCAACTATGTCTATATAATGAAAACCTTCCCCTATTAAAATCCTTCAACAACAGAGTTGGCAGAGCTTTGGAGTTGGCAACTGCACAGGGACAGAAGGTTCTTGAGCTAAGGACACTTCTGGACCATGCCCTAAGTACCTATTCATATGGCTGCACATCTGTATCCTTTATAATAAACTGACAGTAATAAGTAAAGTGTTTTCCAGAGTTTTGTGAGCAATTCCAGCAAATGATAAAATCTGAAAGGGGGAAGTGTTGTAGGAACAATTTTGTAGGACAATTTTGAAGTTCACTTCAAATTTTGAATATGATTCGATATTAAAATCTGCGATAAATATAAATTCCATTTAACATGCTTGGATGAAGTACTTAAATAATAGCATTTGTAAATCCAAATTAAAGAAATCTTTAATTTCTTTTATAGTTATAAGTTGTAGACAGCAGTAGACAGATACTCCACTACAAGAACACCAAATAAAGGATGATACAAGGGCATACAAGAGCACTTGTGGCATACTGCCATTTTTTTTACTTAATATTTTGTGCCATTATACTTTGTTAGAAGAAAATACTCACCCCAAATGATTCACCAATTGACACTAAGATTCTGTCAAATTAAGATGAAATATAAATTAGTAACAGTAAACATACACAGATTCTGCAGATATGCACATATACATATCATTCTAAACTATGAGGAACACAAATCAAAGGTTTTCTCTACTCTAGAACCACTAGTAAATCACTTTAATCAGAGGCTTATTCTAATAGTGACTCAGTCAGTCTCTTTTAAGTTTTTTTTTTGTGTGTGTGGTGATGAGGATTGAATTCAGGGCCTCATGTATGCTATGAATGTGCTCTACTGCTGAGATACATCTTTAGCCCTGGTAAGTTTTTTTTGAAAGTAAAAAAAATTTAGGATACTTTGTTCCACTGCCCATACTTAAAAAGGGTAAAAGAAAGTTTTAAGTTTACCCTTACTTAGTTCTTCATAAATCAATGGATAAATTATCAAACTTCTTTCAAATTTTTCATTTAAAATTAAAGTGACATTTGGCAAAACTTTACAGTATTAAGTAACAATCAAAATTCTAATATTGAGATGTAGTAAAGGTTATTTATTATGTATCCCAGAATCAGAAATCTCCATTAGTCTGTTGTCTTTGTTTTGAATACATGATTTATGTTCTTGATAATAAAGCTGCAGAACAGCTTTGATATAACATAACACAGATTTAATAATATATACATGGGGGTTGGGGTTGTAGCTCAGTGGTAGAGTGCTTGCCTTACACACGTGAAACCCTGGGTTCGATCCTCAGCACCACATAAAAATAAATAAATAAAAATAAAGATACTGTGTCTATCTACAACTAAAAAAATATTTTAAAAAATATAAACATGGAACTAATGGCTATGTAGATTTTATTGTTCTCCATTTTCTTGATAAGTGGTCATCATTCTATTCGACTAGCCAGAATACCTAAATAGGCTATGTAAATAGAGTGTTAAGATATTACTTTCTTAATGCCCAATCAATGATTTATGGGTTAGGATATTCAGAATGTGACTTTTTTACTAAAGAAAAACAATACAAAACATCATGGTTGAAAACTACATAAGAATATATTTTAATGTGATAGCACAGAACTGTGTAAATTTACCTAAATAGACATGATATTATCTTCACAGTTTATAATGTAAGCTGTAGCTATAAGTACATGGATTTTCAATTATCAAGTGAATAAAAGAAAGATACAGGGGAATACAGGAGCACTTGAATCATATTTTCAATTATTTTTTTATTTCATGCTTTTCTTTAGAATTTGAAATTTTTATCAGGTGTGCATTACTCATGTAATTAAACCCACCACATAGTTATTTCTAAACAGTTAATACAGTCCCTTCTCCTTTTTTTATTTTTCTTGCCCATTAGGTACAACTATATAGGTTGCCCATTTCTGAGATGACACTACATTAAATATACTAGCTAATCTGCCTCCTACTTTATACAAATAAAGTCAGTTTCTAATAGCCCATGATAACATATAATTTTTCAACTGAAGAACTTCAAAGCCAGAGAGAACTTATGATTGGATTGGAAGATAATATAATGATTTATAGTTGTACAGAAGCTTTCATCTGAGAATTTAAAACAACTTTGCACTCATCACTTCCCTGATCCATAGCACCCTTCTAAAGTAGAGAGAGATCTGCCCAAAGTAATATAAAGAGGCCACTGGCACAGTTAGGGATGGGCCTCTAAAGACTTAATTGACAGTCACCTATACTTAAAGTCATATCCATGCAAAATGAACAAGGAAGGTCTTCAGACAGAGTTCACAGGAAATCCAGTAAACTGTAAAATAAAAATTTTTAACCTGAAGAATTTTTAACCTGAATCTACTTTGTTTCTCACATTGGCTACTTGCAAAAATATCAAAGTGTTTTGAAAAGGACAAACTGGTTATCAGATATTCACAAAAGAAGACACTCTAGGAAAGTTGATGACAAAATTTGCAAACCCATCCAAGTAAACAGATTTTCCCCCCTAAATTCTTGTCATGTTGCTTAACATAAAAAAGCAAATTAGAAATTCAAGAGTCTAGCTTATTTTAAACAAAGAAAGCTTTACATTATTCTTGGATCAAAATTATCCCCTTACTTCTTATCACTTTCCTAAAGAGAAAATACCAACCTTGATCTTGGAGTCATTTTTGTTGGTGTTGGCAGACCTTCTGAAATTTTATATGGACTCTTCAGGGGTGATATATAGATGTTCCCCCCAGGAATCCGTAAGGGTGAACTAGAAAACTTGTAAGGGCTTCGAGGAATGTGAGGTATTGGTGACAAGGTAGGAGGCTAGAGCAAAAACAAGAAGCAGGTTATTTATTTAATGTTGTAATAAGATCCATTACTTTATAATTAGATTTCCCCAAAGGATAATTTAAACATACCCTCGTGGAAGCATACTGCAAAATATTTGTTTTCAGTCTCTGCATGAAAACTGAATTATAGAATACTATAATGGAATCATACTCCTCTTCTCTGATCAAAACACGTTTGAATGTCTGAGGAAGAATAATAAAAACACTTATTAAAAATGAAGTTAAGAATTTTTCTCTTCGGATTTTCTTCCTTAATAGTTTGTAATACTTTTTTAACTAGTAAGAAGCATATATTATACAGAAAAAAATAATCTGAAAAAGCCTTCTTAGGCTTGGATTCTGTATGCTCAACTAGAAGTGGAATGTCCCAGAATGATTCAGAGGGTAACTACTAGTCAGTACATGGAACAAACAAACATCCCCAAAGACAGAAGTGGACAAGCTGACAGGGTGGAAAGCATTATGGGAAGCAAAGATCAGAGCTGATCAAAAGACATCAATATTTAGACTATATTCTCTGTACCTCCCTGATCCCCAACATCTAAAGGTTTCAAGAAGTGTACATTATTCCATTGCAAGAAGTAGACATTTAGTAAAAGCACTATTTCTTTTTTGACTGCTAGATTTTACTTAAATTTTAGTTCAGTAAAACCACAGGATTTTATAGAATGCCTCTGAAACACACAATTAAAATGACTGGATTTAAAAAATAATTGCTCATGATAACATATAAATACATAAAAATAACCTGATCTGTATTACTTCTGAAAACTCCAATATTAAGCTGGAAAAATAACTCACCTATCATAGGAGGGTATGAAATGTATGTCACATCAAGTGTATTTTATTAATACTACTTGCCTACAGGGGAGGTAAACTAGAAGCACAAAATGTGTTTACAAGGAAAACTTTCATTATTTCTTTATAAGGCTGCATTTACACTGGCATTTCCTATAGAGTAATAAAAATAACTTAACATCTAATATCGTATTACTTACATCAAATTTATTACAAATGTCTTGCTTACTGCACATAGTATTATTTATTAAGTTAAATGATGAATTTAGATGATTTCAAAATCTGCCTTAGCTTTCCAATTCCATTTTAGTTACAGATAATCGGTAATATAAAATAAAAAATTTGATTTGTGAATTTACACAATGTCAGAATATATAATCTCATTAATGACTTAAATTATCTATATTATAAATATGGATTTATTTTAAAAAATCTTACCATGAAAGATTACCTACCTCTTGAACAGCATGAGGAAGATCCTTGTATGCTGTTACAATGATTTTGAATTTAAGGTCTATATTCTTCACTTTGCATATGCCATACATAGAACACATCATAATCTAATAAATAAATAAGATGTGAAAGTACAATTTAATTACATGGTTTTTCTCTAAAAAGCACTCTGTTATCTTTCGGTTAGCTTCAAAAGAGGGAAATTTAATTTCTATAGGGTTATTTTTTTTTCATCCTAACCTCCATTTGAAAGTCTATATAAAATGTTTAGCCCAAACTGTATTTAAATAACAAAATGCAAATGACCAACTTTCAATTATTCAGGACTGATTATCTGATTGGTAAATTACATTAACTTTGGCTCTTGTTCTTTAATTTTTCCCCAGCATTGTTGAAACTGGAATCGGTTAATTGTATAATTACCACTTAAATTAAAAAAAAATCAGGTATCAAAGTTTCAAAGCATTGGATAAAATCTTTAATATATGTGATGTTGGTATGGAGGAATTGGTGACTGGAAGGCAACAAAAGAGAGACTTTTGAATTGTTGATCATGTTCTGTTTCTTTTCATTAGCATGACTCCTTTTGAGAGATGGATTATTTTTCTATAAGGTATTTCAATAAAAGATATTTTCAATAAAATATATTTTAAATGCAAAAATAAGATTTGAAAATGACTTTCTGTGACTTTAAAACATCACACTTTCTTAATTTGCATGAACTTTCTTGTCTAATTTAAGTATGTATCACTTCTGCAACATTTTGTTCACATCCACTATTGTCAAGAATACCTAACCACCATCCCTTGCTCAGCATCTTACCAAATCTGAACTTACTATTCCTTTCACTTACAATGCCATCAATGTATCCTCTTTGCCCATTCACATTTTTCTTTTTTTTGATACTTGGCCTCAAAAAAGGGGGGGGGCAGTGGTAGACCACCTTGGGTTCAATCCTCAGTACCACCACCCCCCCCCAAAAAAAGAAAGAAACAAACAAAACAAAAAAAGGAAAACATAACAAAACTATTCACAAACAAAAGCCCTAGCCAAAATGGCTTTGCTGGAGAATTCTATTAATATTTAAAGAAAACTTAATAATAATTCTTCACAAACTCTTCTGAAATTAGAAATGTTCCCAAGTAATTCTATGAGGCTAGTATTTATTTCTCTGATACCAAAACTAGATAAAGATATCATATGAAAACTATAAATGCATTTTCTGATTATACATGTAAAAGTTCTCAGCAAAATTATAGCCTAGACAAACTGAATCCAGAATCATATCAAAAGGATTATGTACTGTGACCAAGTGGGATTTATTCCAGAAATGCAAGATGGGTTTAACATTTGATAACAAATTAATGTAACATACCATGTCAGTATAATAAAGGAAAAAATCTCACATCCAATAGATATAAAGAAAGCACTTGATAAAATCCAAAACCTTTTCATGATAAGAGTATTCAAGAAACTAAGATAAGAAGGAAACTTTCTCAATCCATCAAAAGGCATATTAAAAACACACAGAGACACACACCCTTCCAGGGCACATCCCCACGACCTTTCTCCAACCATGCTCCACTGCCTACAGTTTCCAATACATCCCTATAGTACATTCTGTTATCAATGGATTAATCCACTTGTGAAGTCAGAGCACTCATGAGCCAATCACTTCCCCCAAAGCACTGGGGATTGAACCCAAGGCTGTTCTACATGAGCTTGACCCACTCCATCTACCTATTTTTTAATTCTGAGGCAGGGTCTTACTAAGTTGCTGAAGCTGGCCTGGAATTTGTCATTCTCTTGTCTCAGCCTCCCAAGTAACTGGGATTACAGGTATATACCACCATACCTAGCAACAACATAGTTAATGTCTTCATCTAATATCAAGAACAAGACAAGGATATCCCCTCTTAAGCCATTTCCATTCAACATTATCCTTTAGGTTCTAGCCAGGGAAATTCAATAAGAAAATGAAAGGCATTCAGATTGAAAAGAAAGATGTAAGACTATCTCTATGCACAGATGACATGATCTAATATATAAAAAGTCTTAAGGAATCTACTTGAAAATTATTAGAACTAATAAAGAAACTTAGCAAAGTTGAAGGATACAAAAAGAAATATACCAAAATCAATTATATTTCTATATACTTGCAATGAATGATCCAAAAATGAAATTAAGAAAATAATTTCATTTATAATAGTATTAAAAATAATAAAATACTTGGGAATAAATTTAATAAATACTCTGAAAATTACAAAACATGTTATAAAACATAAAAAGGTCCAAATGAATGGAAACACATCACATGTACGTGGACTGGAAAACATGCTGTTAAAATGACAATGCTCCCCAAATTGACTTTAAATTTAATGCAATTTCTTTCAAAACCTTCTTTACAGAAACTGACAAGCCAATCCTAAAATTTATATGCAAATACAAGCTTCAGAATAGTCAAATCAATTTTGAAAAAAAAAATATGTATGTTCCCAATACTTCCTTATTTCAAAACATTACTACAAAGCTAATTTAGTCAAGGCAGTGTAAACCAGGCATTGTGGCACAGATCTTTAATCCCAGAGACTATGAGAGGCTGAGGCAGGAGGATCACATTCAAAGCCAGCCTTAGCAACTTAGTGAGATCCTGTCTCAACAAACAAAAAAACAAACTGGGGTTGTAGTTCAGTCATAAAGTGCCCCTGGGTTCAATCCCCAGTACTAAAAAAAAAAAAAAAAAAAAGTATAGTCCTGGCTTAAGAATAGCTCTATAAATCAACAGAATAGAATTTAATGTCCAGAAAACACTTGAACAGTTGTAACCCATTGATTTTTAGATGCTGTCAATGGGGGAAAGAAAGAACTTTTCAAGAACTGGTGTGGTTAAGGATAGGACCGGGAGAATAGCTTAGCAGAGCACCTGTCTAGCATATATGAGGTCCTGTGTTCAATTTCTAGAAGAAGGAAGGAAGGGGGTAAGGAAAAGGAAAGGAAGAGAGATGAAAGAATGCTGGAATAACTAGTATTCTATAACAACAACAAAAAAATGAAGTTGGATCTCATACTACTTGTTATGGTTCGGCTCTGGAATGTCCCCCAAAACTCATATGTTGAAGGTTTGGCTACCAATGCTGCAATGCTCAGAGGTGCGGGAAGTGATTAGATCATGAGAGCTCTGACCTCACCAATGGATTAATCCATTGACAGCTGAATGGAGGTGTTGGGAACTGTAGATAGTGTGGCATGGTTGGAGGAAGAAGGTCACTGGGGGCATGCGCTGGAACAGTTATTTGTTGTTCCCAGCTCCTTCTTCTCCTCCTTCTTCTTTCCCTCTCTCCTTCCTGGCTAACATGAGCTAAGAAGCTTTCCTTCTCGGTGCCTTTCTGCTACAATGTCTTGCCTCACTCAGGCCTTTCAAAGCAATAGAATTCACCATCCATTATCTGAAACCTCTGCAACCATGAGCCAAATAAATCTTTTCCTCTTTAAAGTTGTTTTTTTCAGGTACTTTATTCACAGTGACAGAAAGATAACTAATATACCTACTACAAAAATTAGTTCAAAAAACCTAAGCGTAAGAGCTAAAAATGTTTAAACTCTTAGAGGAAAATAGGGATAAATAAGTCATAATAACCTCAGATTTGGCAACAGTTTCTTAGATATAATACCAAAGACCTAGTAATGAAAGAGAAAAATAGATCAATTGAACTTGATCAAAATAAAAACTTCTGTGTTTCAAAGGACACCAACTCATAAAATGAGAGAAAGTGAAACACAACTCAGAATGAGTGAAAATATTTGCAAATCATATATCTCATAATGGACTTGGGTGTAGAATATATAAAGAATTCTTGTAAGTCATTAAGAACAAAATAAATAATCTAATTTTAAAACACATAAAGGCTGTAAATAGACATTTCTCTAAAGAAGATATACAAATGACCAATCAACACATGAAAAGATGCTAAACATCATTAGCTATCATAGAAATGCAAGTCAAGACCACAATGAGGTACCACATCAAACCCACTGCCATGGCTATAATAAAAAAGGTAAGTTAGTAAAGATAGAGAGAAACCTGAAACTCATACATGACTGGTAGAATGTAAAATGGCACAGCCACTTTGGAAAACAACCTAGCCATTCCTCAAAAGGTTAAACAGAGTTATAATATGATCCAGCAATTTCACTCTTAGATACATACTCAAGAGAACTGAAAGTATATGTCTATATGAGAATTTGTACATGAATATTCATAATAATACTAGTTATAATAGTCAAAAACCATGTCCATCAATTAATGAATGATAAAAATGTGGTTCAGATTCATAAAACAGAACATTATTTGGCAATAAAAAGGAATGAAGACCAATACAAATTATAACACAAATGAACCTTGAAAACATACTAATAAAAGAATTCAAACACAAAAAAATCACATATTATTCCATTTATACAGAAATATCCAGAACAAATCTGTAGACAGAAACTAGGTTAATGTTGCTTAGGGATGAGGAAGTGGGGGTTGGGGGGTGGTTTATTCCTGCAAGATAAGGGGGTTTCTTTTTGGTGTGATGAAAATGCTCTAAAATCTCTTCTTCCTGGTTGCCATATCCTGAGCTGCTTCCCTCTACCATACTGTTCTTCCATGATGTTCTGATTCACCTTGGGCCCAGAGCTATGGAGTCAGCTGACCACAGGCTAAGAACCTCTGAAATTGTAAGCCAAAATACTCTTTTCTCCCTCTACATTGTTTTTGTTGGGTCTTTCGGTCACAACAATGAGAAAACTGACTAAAACAGAAATTGGTATAGAGAAGTAGGGTTACTGCTGTGATTAACCTGACCATGTGATTCAGAAGCCTTTGGATCTGGTTTATAGGAATTTTGGAAAGTTTAGAGATGCAAGTTGGAAAAGCTTTATAATGTTGTAAGTGGAGCTTAATGGGTGATTCTGGTGGGAGCGCAGAAGACCAGAATGCCAATAGGACTGTGGACAATAAAGTTTGGACTCATTAAGCCTAAAAGGAGGAGGAGTCTATTGGAAATTGGACTATAGGCCATTCATGCTTTGTCTGGCAAAAAAGTTGTCTACATTTTGCCCATGTCCTGAGACTTTCTGTGAGGCTGAATTTAAAAATGATGTATTAATTAATCTGGTGAAGGAAATTTCAAGACAGCACAACATGAATATTGCTGGTGTTATTTATCCAAGTTTACTGTGATAATCAGGAGGAAAAAAGTAGAAAGATTTGAAAAACTTTCAATTTGGCCAGAAAAGTCTGAATAAAACTGGAGCTAAGGAAGGTATGGTTGTTAAAGAACCACTAAAGAAATGTTAAGTATTTTATTCAGAAACAATATGAAAGATGGCTAGAGCATCTCAAAAATGGTAAGACCCATCTCAGGCTCAAGGATGTAAAAGTAAAATTTCCTTTGAGGAAAAGTGAGCACCCTGCTTGAACATGTGGCCTAGGAAGTTGTTTCACTGTGCTCAGCCACCCAGGCACTCAGAGACTGCAGCTGTGGTCCCACAAAGCTTGGCTACTGGTGGCAGACCTTGGCTATTGGTGTCAACCATGTAGTGTTGATTTTGCAGAAAAGCAGGATGCTAGAGTTAGGGGTTCATAGAGGCTTCCACAGAGATTTCAAAGGAAGGTTCTAGGAAGCCAAAGTCTAGCAGGGTCAGAATCCCTGCAGACTACCTTTAAGAGGATGATGTGTGAAGATGTGAGAAGGAAGCTGAAGCTGCAGCGGAGACCCCTGAGATTAAAGATGCCAGCAATGTGTATCAAGCTGAGGAAAGCTGGAGGAATCAAGAAGAAATAAGCCAAGAAGAGAGGCTATGTGGGCTGCAACCAACAAGGCCATAGGGGTAACAGAGCAACACATGCCTTTTGGAGAGAACTTTATGATACCATGTGCCCCCAAAGTTGGACATGGGAGGTACAGGACTCGTTTGCCTAGATGGATTTTAGTTTTGCTTTGGTCCCACCACTTCTTTCTATGCCCTATTTCTCCCTTTTGGAATGGAAATGTTTACTCTGTGCCATTATTGTAAAGGATATATGTAACTTGCTTTTGATCTTTACTCTTTTTTTAATATTCATTTTTTTAGATATAGATGAATACAACGTCTTCACTTTACTTTATGTGGTGCTGAGGATGGAACCCAGTGCCCCACACATGCCAGGCGAGCGCTCTACCTCTGAGCCACAACCCCAGCCCCTTGATCTTTACTCTTACAGCTGAGTTTGCCTTGAGTTTCAGATCAGATATTAGACTTGGACTTTTGGTAATTCTGGAACTGTTAAGACTATGGGGACTCTTGGAAATGGACCAAATACATTTTGAATGTGAGATGGGCATGAGGTTTGGCCTTGGCAGAATGTTATGGTTTAGACATAAAGTATCCTCCAAAAACTCATGTGTGAGACAATAAAAGAATTTTCGCTGGGAAAACTGTCAGGTTATGAGAGTTTTAATCTAATCAGTGGATAAATCCACAAATGTGGATTAACTGGGCGGCAAAGTAGGCAGGTAGGTGTGCCTGGAAGAAGTAGAACAATGGGGGTGTGCCTTTAGGGTTATATTTTATCCCTGATGAGTAGAGTTCTCTTCTTGGTTGCTATGTCCTGAGCTCCTTTCCTCCATCACATCCTTTTGTTATAATGTTCTGTCTCCCTTTGGGCACAGAGCTACAGAGTCAGCCAACTATGAACTGAGAACCTCTGAAACCATGGGCCAAAATAAACTTTTCCTCCTCTGTGTTGTTCTTGTTCTGTCTTTTGGTCACAGCAATGAAAAAAGTTCACTAACTCACCCCTGGTTTCCATCCCCCCAGTCTTTGACAAGCTCTAATCCACCTTCTGTCTCTATATTTGCTTATTCTATACATTTCATATAAATACAATTATATGGTCAAAAAAAGTGCTCTAAAATGAAACAACTCAAAACAGACTAAAACCACTGAATGGTGCACTTCTAATGGGTGATTTGTATACATAAATTATACTGATAAGCTATTACCCCCCTCCAAAATATTATTCTTTAACCCATTTTAAGAGATGGAAGGTGGGTGTGGTGGCGCACACCTGAAATCTCAGTGACTTGGGAGGGTGACGCAGGAGAATTCAAAGTTCAAAGCCAGCCTCAGCAACTTAGTGAGGTCTTAAAAAACTCAGCAAGACCCTGTCACTAAAAAAATATAAAAAGGGGCTGGTGATGTGGCTTGTGGTTAAGCACCTCTGGGTGAGAGAGAGAAAGTGGGGAGAGAGAAAGAGATATGAAAAAGGAGGACATAAGAAATAATTATGTTTATAAACTTCATTCATTAAATAGGCACTGCTTTAGATCAAACAATTTTAAGTTTCATGCTTTTTCTACACTAAAATGAATCTAGCTTACTAAAACACAAAAAGCTGACAATAAACAGGTTCTTCAGTTATTTTTCAAAAGATAAGAATGTATCACTAAATAAGTAGTTATAGACATATACTCTTGAACTCTAAAACTCTAATTTGTAAGGATTATAACAAAAATATAAATGGCGCCAGCAAGCGAATATATAAAATTTACTAAGTTAATCAATCTTCTTATTTCAATCCTATCTTGTTTATTTATTTATTTATTTTAAAGAAATCAGTACACAGTTAAATAAGTAGAGAGAAGAAAAGGCAAAGTGTTCAATTTTCTTACTTGATCCAAATGCCTATCTCTCATGAGTTCATACTCATTTTGCAATGTATGCTGGAAAAGGGTCCAGATGATGTGTTCTAGTTCTGGGTGATCAGACAGAAGGCGTGCACATAGGGTATTTAGTCGGAGATATGCTAGCCGGTACACTGCAAAAGTAAGGGGAAATGAACCATATTTACTGTTCATTTTCAATCACAAGTAGACTTTTAAAAAATCATTAATTTTCTATATCATTATTCTTTTTAAATAGCAACTTAACAGTAACCTCACCTCTACCACTATTTTCTTTATGAATAAATAATTCCTATTAATAGCACAATAGAAGGCACAATACTAGGAAGGCACAATACTTGATAAACAATTATTATATTATAAAACTAAGGCAGAGGTAGAAGGTAGAGGAGGATAGCCCATAAGATATTGTGAAATTAGACAAACCACATAGGGTTTGCTTCCATTCTGTTGGTAATCACTCATCACAAATGTTGGAAATTCCTACTATCAATAGTCAAGAGGGATAATTATTTTTAAAAATAATGACATTGTCAGTGTTTACTAATTTTTCTAATCCTAAAAGAAAAAATCAAACCATGTTTCATTATGAAATACCAACAAACTCTTGAAAAATGGTAGATGTGTATATTATCGAAGTAGAGCACAACTGTCACACGAAGTTTATTCAGAGTCTATTAAAATATTATTGGAAATACAGGTTTAGAGAAAAGGAGTTGACAAAACTGAATTTTTGTCTACCTGTTTTAAATACAAAGAGTCTTGGTTTAAGATGGGTCTTTAAAGAATTGCATAGGTAAACAAAAATTTTTTTTTAAAAAAATTTCTTTTAGTTGTAGATGGACACAATATTTTTATTTTATTTATTTTTATGTGGTGCTGAAGATGGAACCCAGTGCCTCACACAGGCTAGGCAAGTGTTCTACCACTGAGCCATAACCCCAGCCCCAGGTAACTTTTTAAAGTTAACCATTTGTCCTGGGTGTTTTAAAACTTGAGCATATATTCAACTTGCCTAGAGTGTTCTAGGGCCCTATCCTAGAATTTCTGATTGAGTAGATACAGGTAGATCCCCAAATTATCATTTCTATAACTTTCCAGGAAACATGGATTCTGCTGATTGGGGCCTACCCTTTGAAAACCACTGCCCTAATCTAGGGCCCAAGTCTTACAATGTTTGTGTAAGTCTCAATTTTTTTTTTTTTTAGAGAATTTTTTAATATTTATTTTTTAGTTTTTGGTGGACACAACATCTTTGTTTGTATGTGGTGCTGAGGATCAAACCCGGGCCGCACGCATGCCAGGCAAGCGCGCTACCGCTTGAGCCACATCCCCAGCCCTCAATATATTTTTAATTTGAATAAAGTCAGTAAAAATTCTTATCACAGAGGAATCAGGTCTTTTAGTCTCCTTAAGAGCGCTCTAAGATGGTATGGACTTATATGTTTATATACATGTACAGATATGCAAAATAAATTCCCCACCCCACCATATATACATTCAATCAGAGAATATAATACAAACTGGTTACTAGACTTGTTAAATGTCCTAAAAATATCCAGGGAATGTGCTTGCACTGTCAGTAACACACAAAATAATCTCAACACTAAATATGCCTGAATAGTAAAAGTAATAATTGGGCAAATATTTCTAAACATTAATTTGAAGGTATAACAATAGTAATGCAGCATTCCTAACATCAAAACTTTTCTGAGTGCTATGTGGAAGGCCCTGTTAGAAGCATTTTATATGTAATAATTTATTTAATTATCCTGAAAACCCTACAAGGTAATTTTTATTCTTATTATAAGGTAAATTTTTTAATACTTTCTTTCCATTTTATAGATGAGGAAACTAAGGCATAAAGATATTAAGTGACTTGCTCAGGGTCCAACCAAGTAAGTTGAAGAGACAAGATTTGAACCTAGTCAGCCTGGTTATAGAGCCCATGCTCTTGAAAGTAATCTTCTACTAACCTTTTTTGTAAAAGAGTGAAAGGGAGGTAGATTTCAATGGCTTCTGAGTCTGGAAGGCTGAGTTTGCTTGTGTCTCTGCATTTGCAGTAGAATTTACACGTGTAGTTGAACCTTTTTTCTTTGGGGATCTTACAGGTGAAAGATACCTAGAAGTATTCAAAAGAAAAAGTCCTCATTTGAAATTTCCTAAGAGTCATACACATACATACATGTTACACACATATACCTAGACACATCTTATGTATTTAATCTGTGGTTTTCTGTCAGTTTCCCCAAGCAGGCTATTTAAATACAAGTTGGGAACAATAGCTTAATAGGAAAACTATGTTTGTTATAGTATGTCTAACACTTTTAATAAGTGGCTTTCCCTGGAAATTACTTATTGGGAAAACAATAGCTGTATATGCACAATTTTAACAGTAATAGTGAGATTTAGACCATAAAATAACTTCAGCTTAAAAAACAAGTTACTAATACCAGTGTTGTCATGTGTCTCTGATTCTCCTGCTAAATTTTTTTACTGATAACTATGATTCATATACACGTTGACTTAAGTTATACACACACACTCTCTGAAATTACGTAGCACAGAATTCTATGACTTAGTACTTCAAATAACATGATCAAGACAGATTTATACTTGTTTACTAAATATGCCAGGAATAAATCAAGGCAGGGATATCAGCAAATATTCTCTCTCAATTTATAGCAATTCTTTTGTTTTATATTATCCTCTATTTAATAGAATAATCCATGTCTATGATTTTATTTTGTTTTAATAGCAGAGAAATAACTCTGAAGAGGAAGTAGAATTTGTACCCTAATATGAGTATTTCCACTACATGCAGTATGTTAATTAGTGCAATAGGAAGAGACTCACCAGCACAATTTTATAAGTACCAGGGCCTGGTCTCTTATTCTCTTTGGTCTTCCTTTCAGTTTTTTAACTGAAAATTATAGACTAACTTAGGCAAAGTTAGTCTCCTTTGAGTCCTGATACAAATATCCAATTACCTAATAATGGGTATCATTACTTGAATCTTAAACTTAATAAGGTCAAAGTAGAACTCTGGATTTCTTCTTCTCCGTTTTTTCTCATCTCAAAAAATGGCCACACATTTTATTAATGTCTTAAAGTAAAAAACCCAGAAGTAATTATTTTAATTTCACTGTTTCCTAAGTTCCTCAAATCTCATATAAAACTCTGTAAAACTTACTAAGTATATCTCTAAATGCACCTCATATCTTTCTCATTTCTACCTTTAATGCTATATCTTAGACTAAGTCACCCATATCCCTCATTTGAACTACTGAAATAGTCTTCCAAATGGTCTTTCCACTTTCTTTCCTGTCCTGACCCTTTTTCTCCCCCAAACCCACCTGGTACTTCAAATAGCAACCAGACAGCGGTCCTTTAAAAATACAAATAAAACAAGTTGCATTCCTGCTAAATGGTTTCCCACCGCTCTTATAAAATCCAAACTGCTTACTCTGGCCTGTGGGAACCTACAAAATCTAGACCTGGTCTGCCACTCCAACCTCACTGTGTACCATTCTCATACTCTCTATACCCCATGCATTCTGGATACCATGCTAGTCCTCATGCCAGTCAAGTTCCGTCTGCCCTACAACATGAAGATTTCTGCCTGCCCAGCATCCACTTGTCCCTCAGGTCTCAGGTCAAAATATCACTTCATTAGAGAAAGAAAAACTATTCTGTTCGTTATAGTATGTCTAACTCTTTTAATATATTCTATAATATAACTCTAAATATTCCATTGCCCTCTAGTTTCTCCTTCATATCACTTTATTCATTTCATTTATACCACTTATTATACTCTAAAATCGACTTACATGTTAGTTTACTTATTCACTGCTTCCTTCCTCCAGAACATAAAGCTCTATGAAGGAGAAAGACCATTTTACTTTTGTCTTCTCAGTGCCTACAATACTTCCTGGCATTTAACATAACTATTTATTTAATTAAAGAAAAAATAAAGCTTGATTTATTTATATAAAACTTGCCTAGCAAACAAATATATACATGAATGGAGAGTCTCTATATGTTAGGAACAGTTTGGATACAAGTTAGAATGAAAATGACACCTATGGAAAGTGGTTTCTATACCAATTGCATAACACTGTAATGTTGATTAATACACAGAACAGGTCCATAACATTAAGCACATTTCTATGAAAGGCAGTGTAGCTAGAGAAATTAAGAGCATGGGTTTTGGGGTCAAACTGGTTGGGTTAGATTCCTGTTGACCTTAGGCAAGTTACTTTATTTCTCCTATTTTATAGATAAATGAGGCAGACAGCGTATCTACTACCTTTTAAGACAGGTATGAAAATTAAATGAAAAACATGAACATGAAGTACTCAGGTAACAGCCCAACACACACTAAGCCTTCTCAATACATGTTGGCTTTTGCTTTTTGCTCATACCATCATCTTGCTCTAATCAACTGTTTCAGTCCATATCTCATACTACTCACTAGATTTACCCCATGCTTCATCCAAAGGGACTGATCTATGTTCTCTGAAAAATGTTTCCTGCTACTCTGGCTTTTTTCAGTTCATGTCATTTCTGGCTCTTAGAACACTATTCTGTCTCCTCTCACTTCCCTAATTTTGTGCTGAAATCCTATTCAATCCTTAAAGCCTATCTAAATTGCCATCTGTGCAATGAAAACTGCTCTCATTACACCAATCCTACATGATTCAGTAGCATTTGTTCCTTCATATGACCTTATTTAGGTCATATATATTACACTCCTAATTATTAAAAGCAGTAACAATATCTTATGCAAAATTCTAATCCATACAACTTCTATATAGTGCCCTTATGCTCAAGACATATCTGCAATTTCAAAGGATGACATAATGTGTTCTACTTACATATCTGCTGCAGTGTGATTATTCTGGAAAGGAAGGTTGACAGAACAAGCAGATTCAAGGTGATCAGCTGGTCCCTCTCGGTCCTTGGATTGTTTAATAAGATCAAATAAAGGTGAGTCCTAATAAGGGTGAAACAAGATGACATTAAAACATTATTAGTTAAGTCTGATTTTCTCAGGTATGTATCGAAGTCATATTGTTTGACATGTGAAGCACTAGGAATTTTAGGCACAACTAACATTGGCAATTTAGAAGTTAGAATAGGATCATTTTCTCCACCCTTGAAATTCTCAATTACCAATTTTGTACTACACACATATAAAAAAGGAGTAGGAAAATGTATAACTTCAAATGCTAGTACAAGTTGAGTATCCCTTATTGAAATGCTTGAGACTAAAAGTGTTACAGATTTCAATTTTTTTAGGATTTTAGAATATTTGAGTATGTATAATGAACTACTTGGGGATGAGACTAAACTCAAAACTCAAATAGCATTTAGGCTTCATATACACCTTTTTTAAAAAAAAAAAACATAGCCTGAAGTTAATCTTATACAATATGTTTAGTTATATTTTGTCTGTGACCTATCATATGAAGTGCCATTATGTTGGCATTCAAATATTTTTGAATTTTGGGATAGGGTATAGTTCAGTGGAAGAGACCTCTTAGCATATGCAAGTCCCTAGGTCTGATCCCCAGCACCAAAAGCATTTTTTAATTTTGAAGCATTTCAGATTAGGGCTGTTAAAACTGCATTAGAAGTTAGGGAAAACTTTTCATCAAAGACTCAAAGAAGGAAATAAAAAAGATAAAAGCAGAATTTAATAAAACAGAAAACAAAGATAAAATAACACTGATCAACATAACTATCAATCTTTTCTTTGAAATAATTAATAAAATTAAACAAACTTCCAATCAGAATAATCAAGAAAAAGAGTAACAGTACAGATAAATAGGATTAGAAATGACAAGTGGGACACTATCACACGCAAAGATTAGATAGATAATGGGACTGTTATAAATAAATTTACATCAAACTTAAAGTATGTGGAAAAATCCTACAAAACATAAACGGATCAAAACTCAACAGAAAAGAAGTAAGTCCTACAACTACTGAATCAGTTATTAAAATTCCCCTACAATGAAAAAGCCAAGTCCTTTGGGTTTCACCTAGAATTCTACCACTCAGAGGACTGATAATATCATTTTTACTCAAAATCTTTTAGAATGAAGTAGAGATATTCCTTATCTTCTTTTATGATGTTAGCATAACATTGACACTAAAACCCATCAAAGACATTACAAGAAGTAAATTATACCCCACTTTCATTCATGAATAGAGATATAAAAATTCCAATCAAGAAGTATTAACAACTCAAATCAGCAGTGTTTAAAAGAAAATTCATTATTACCAAGTTGACTTTATCCATGTTGCAAGACTGGTTCAACATTAGAAAATCTACAATGCAATGCACCTCACTAAGGTAAAATATAGTATCGAAGTAAGTGTAGAGGCTGGGACATGATGGCATATGTCTATAATCCTAGTTACTTGGGAGGCTGAGGCGGGAGAAGTGCAAGTTCCAGGCCAGCCCAGGCAATTTATAACCATACCCTGTCTCAAAACAAAAATTTAAAAAAGTATAAGGATATAGCACAGTATATAGTGCTCCTGGGTTCAATCCCCATAATAGGACAAAAAAATCAATACAAAAATATTCTCATTCAAAATATTTAATATTTTGTAATATTTAAAAAAGAAAAGAAAAAAAAAGGTAGTAAACTGGGACAGAAGAGAATTTTCTAATTTGATAAATGACATCTACAAACAAAAACCCCACAGCAAATGTTATGTGCAGTGGTGAAACATTAAAAGCGTTCCCCTTTAAAAAAGTCAATTAAAAGAAACCCATGTCTCATTCCTACTTAGCATTGAATTTGGGGGTCTCAACCAGTTAAATTAGGCAACGAAAAGAAATACAAGATCAAAAGACTGCAAAGAAAGAAACAACAAAATACCATTGCCCATAGATATTTGTTAGTATAGAAAACCAAGATGAATTTATAGAGAATAAGAAATATTAGCAATGTTGCTGTCATGATTTCATAATCAATAGAAGAAATATTACATTTCTATATAATCAAAAAAATTCAAAGTGTAATTTTTAAAATATCATTTACAAAAAATAAGACTGGCTGTAAAATCATTAAAAATACTGATTCAAAAACTGAAATTTCCTAGAGGTATATGATTGCAAGTACAAAGAGTAGATTCCATAATAGAGGAGCTTTTAGTACTTAATTAAGAAAGATTTCTAAAAAGACTTAAGTCAAAAATGGAAGTAAAAATATAAAATACTATATAACAAGTAGTTTTATTCAATATAAAGAATAGTCTAATCAATAATGTGTTGGAAAAATCCATTAACAATTTGAAAAAAAAAGTTAAATCATTATATTTTTACAAAATACACACAAAATCACTTTCTTTCATTAAAAAACAAAACTGAAAAAGTGTTAGAAGTAAATATAGGAGAAGATCATTCAAGTTTCTTGTTTATGAAGGACTTTGTGGAGTTGATGAAAATCCATAAATTACAATGATAAGTATGAACAGATCTGAAAACATACAAATTGAAAATTTCTATATGACTAAAACCACAATAAATTAAGTTAAACTGAATCTTTAAAAGATAATGCCAGTTAAAGACTGCAAACTAAATGCATACAGTAACTCTCTCTTCTAAATCCCCACTAAAATGGCAATAAAGGAACTTATTTTAAAAGATATAAATCTAATGAACAACAAGAATGGAAGAAGAAAAATGAGATACAAAAATGTGAAACTGGAAAGCAGATGAACAAATAGTAATCTACTTGGTACATGAGAAAAAGTTGGATGGACCCAACAGTTTTTTACTTAAAGCCACTATACAAACCAAATGAACCCCCAAAGGGTTTGGAAGTAGTGATACCAGATACTTTAAGCAGTGGGTCAAGAAGGGGAACAATAACGGAAGAACTGGATAGAAATCCACTGAAGAACAAGTTAGACTTTCAGATACTCTCATTCTTTTCACCTCTCTTTACTGATAGAAACAAACAAAAGAAGCCCAAAATGTTTATTATTTGGAGAGTGCAAAACATCATTCTCTGGATTGGGGGACTGAATCTAGGAAGGAGATAACATACTAAAAATGACAGGATTAAGGATTGTTTATTTAATGAATATTTAATGAATATTGTATGTTCTCTACTGCTTCCTGTCTCCCGATTGTAGAATATTTGCAGCCATGATCATATCCCCCAAGCATGAAACCAGAAGAGTCAGAGTGAATAATATGATGAATCTAAAAGTCCTAAAGACATCAAATGTAAGTTTTTTGTTTTTTTTAAGGAATTGTATTAGCAAGTCATCACACAATTAAATCCCCCAACCCCATCCTGGTACTCAGAGCTTCTAGCTAATTTTTGGTGATTTACTTTTTTATATATGTAGCAGTTAAATGTCTTAGGAAAGTCTCCAGTATGAAAGTGCCAAAACAAAACAAATAAAAAGCACCTTGAGAGATACATTTAAAGGGAGAAGAAATTTAAAAAGAAAAAGTAAGGCTAAATTATTTAACAGTAATGGGAAATTGGATGTCTAAGCAAGACATTTTAAACATCATTTTTCTTACTCATCTACTTACTCTCAACTCAAAACCACAAAAAGCACAAAGAACTCTTTTTCTTTTTTTTTAAGGTCAGTAATAGTAAAAACATTTTTCTGCAAAGCTTACTAGTGAAGTTTCTCTCTGAACCTCAGTTTCATAATCTGAAAAACAGGAATAACAGTACCCACTTTGTATGATTAAATGACATAACACCTGATGTGCCTTCACTGTAGCCACTTGGGCATTCAATTCTTTTCTCTCCTTTCAGAGATGTGATGTTTATTTTATTTCAGTCCGAAATATATATATATATATATATATATATATATATATATATATATGAATGTGTTAAAGATGTGCTCCTGACTCTTAACTTTCAGGGGAAAAACATCTATTAAAATTTTATAGTCAGGTGCGGTGTACATCTGTAATTCCAGAAATTCATGAGGATAAGGCAGGAGGATCAACAAATGAGACTAGCCTGGGCAACTTAATGGACACTGTTGAAAATAAAAAATAAAAAGGGCTGGGAGTAGCATAGGAGTACAGGGTCCCTGGGTTCAAAACCCAGAACTGCTAATAATAATAATAATAGTAATAATAATAATTTACTTTTTCCTCTCTAGATAGCAAATAGATACTTGATAAATTTTGAATAAAGAGATGTGACAATCATACAGTTATTATTATATGTATCAGTGCAAAGTTTGATGGTTTTCAACACTTTTTCAGTTCCAGTGGATTAATAAAACATATGCTACCATTTGTTATAGCAGCCACTACAGAAATCAATCAATCAACAAGTACATGAAAAAATGCTCACCATCTCTAGCAGTCAGAGAAATGCAAATCAAAACCACCCTAAGATACCATCTCACTCCAGTAAGATTGGCAGCCATTATGAAGTCAAACAACAACAAGTGCTGGCGAGGATGTGGGGAAAAGGGTACTCTTGTACATTGCTGGTGAGACTGCAAATTGGTGCGGCCAAATTGGAAAGCAGTATGGAGATTCCTGGGAAAGCTGGGAATGGAACCACCATTTGACCCAGCTATTCCCCTTCTCGGACTATTCCCTGAAGACCTTAAAAGAGCGTACTACAGGGATACTGCTACATCGATGTTCATAGAAGCACAATTCACAATAGCTAGACTGTGGAACCAACCTAGATGCCCTTCAATAGATGAATGGATAAAAAAAAATGTGGCATTTATATACAATGGAGTATTACTCTGCACTAAAAAATGACAAAATCATGGAATTTGCAGGGAAATGGATGGCACTGGAGCAGATTACGCTAAGTGAAGCTAGCCAATCCCTAAAAAACAAATGCCAAATGTCATCTTTGATATAAGGAGAGCAACTAAGAACAGAGCAGGGAGGAAGAGCATGAGAAGAAGATTAACATTAAACAGGGACGAGAGGTGGGAGGGAAATGGAGAGAGAAGGGAAACTGCATGGAA